CCCGTAGATTATCTCGAAGGGAGGGCGGTCAATGCTGGCGTGGTAACTATTGTTATACCAAAATTCCGCTAACGAAAGATACGTATCCCAACTTCCACCAAAGTCTAGGACGCATGCTCGAAGCATGTCCTCGAGAGTCTGAATCATCCTCTCGCTCTGCTCGTCCGTCTGAGGGTGGAAAGCGGTGCTGAAGTGGAGACGAGTCCCCATCTCGTCATGAAACTGCTTCAAAAACCTGGAAGTGAGCCGGATGTCTCGATCTAATACTACTGATACAAGCACTCCATGTCATGCCATAACCTCGTACACATAAATATCAGCTAGCTTATCGGCCGATATGTTCTCCTGAATCGGTATGAAATGAACGCTCTTGGTCAGCCGATCCACTATGACCCAAATCGAATCAACTCCACATGCAGTCTTGGGAAGCTTAGTGATGAAGACCATAGTGATATCCTCCTATTTCCACACGGGAATGTCTAGTGGCTGCATCTTGCCATGGAGTCTATGATGCTCCGCCTTGATGTTCCAGCATGTCAGGCATCTCTCCACGTACCAAGCTAGGCCCTGCTTCATGCAGGGCCACCAATAATCGGGTCGAACATCTCTGTACATCTTCGTCGCCCCTGGGTGGATGGCGAACCGAGACTTGTGAGCCTCGTCCATCAAAACCTGTTGTACTCCGCCACAGTACGGTACCCAAACTCTTCCATGAAAGGCCAACAATCCTCGACTGTCATACTCAAAGGAAGCTACTTGCCCCACAATCCTTTCGCACTTCTGCCTCTCCTCCTTCAGGCGCTCAACCTGTACCTCTCTAATCTGCTCCGACAACAGAGTAATCACCGTCATCCTCAGACATATATCCCTGGTCATGGCTGCTACTGCCTTACGACTTAGGGTGTCGGCCAAAACGTTGGCCTTGCCTGGATGATAAAGGATCTCACAATCATAATCCATTACCACGTCTAACCATCGGCGCTGCCTCATGTTCAGATTCGGATGATCCATGAGGCACCTTAAACTCTTATGATCCGTGTAAACGGTACAACGGACCCCATAGAGGTAATGTAGCCATATCTTGAGGGAAAACACTACTGCCCCCAACTCTAAGTCGTGTATCGGATAGTTAGCCTCATGAGGCTTCAACTGTCTAGAGGCGTAAGCTATCACATGACCTCGCTGCATCAAAACCGCTCCCATACCTGTGATCGAAGCGTCACAATAGACTACAAAATCCTCTACTCCCTCTGGCAGGGTAAGAATCGGTGCCTCGCACAATCTCTGTCTGAGGGTCTCAAATGTTGCCTACTGCTCAGGCCCCCAGAGAAACACCACCGACTTCTTGGTCAGTCGGGTGAGCGGAACTGCTATCTTGAAGAAATCCTAGATGAATCTTTGTAGTACCCTGCCAGTCCTAGGAAGCTCCGAATCTCAGTTGGAGACCTCGGGACCTCCCACTGCATCACAACCTCTATCTTAGCCGGATCTACTAGTATACCCTTCTGGTTGATGAGGTGTCCAAGGAACTGCACCTCACGCAACCAGAACTCGCACTTGGAGAACTTTGCGAAAAGTCTCTCCCTCCTCAGTGTCTCTCGCAACTATCATCTGACTTGAGGTCAAACGATTCCAAGACTCCAGCCTTTTGGATTTGGCCTATGCGCTTCTTGCTAATATGTCCAAGATGACAATGCCACAAAGATGCTTTATCCAAGCTATCAGAAGAATCAATATACAACACATTATTTCCTAGATTGTCTACAACATTCACGACTTCATATACACCATCACAAGGTATTGCTTTAAAGTAAAATACATCATTGTAATAAACATTAATAACACCATTTTTATTATCAAATGAACATGTAAAACCTTGTTTGTACAAGCCATGAAAGGAAATAATATTTCTCACCATTTCGGGCGAGTAACAACACTTATTCAAATCTAACATTAACCCATTATTAAGCAATAAAGAATAAACTCCTATCTTGGTAACAGGTGATGCTTTCCTGTTGCCCATGACTAAGTTTATATTCCCGTGCTCCACTTGCTCACTTCTTCTTAGTGCCTGCAAATCAGTACAAATGTGAATACCACACCCTGTATCAAGCACCCAAGAATTAGCATTAGATGAGTTGTTAGACAATATTGTGTAAATACCTACATGGGTGGGTTTAACCTTCCCATCCTTTACATCTTGCAGATATTTGGTGCAGCTTCGCTTGAAGTGTCCCTTATCTTGGCAATAGAAGCATTGTGCTTCCTTTGGGTTTGAAGAAGGAGTAATGGGACCTTTCTTTGTCCCACTTGAAGAGGAACCATCAAGAGTCTTACCCTTGGTACCCTTTGAAGGGTTTTTCATCTTCTTACTCTTCCCTTGCCCAATTTCAAGAACAGGGACTATTAAAGGAGTAGAAGTAGCAACCGCTTAACCCTTAAGGCCATTTTCAGCTGTCCTTAAGAGTCCTTGAAGTTTGCTAAGTGTGACTTCCTCCTTATTCATATGATAAGTCATACGAAACTGATCATAACTTGAAGGTAAGGAATGGAGAATGATGTCAATCGCCAATTCCTCTGGGAAGTCAACATTGAGCTTTAGCAACCGGTCAACAAACCTCTGCATCTTCTGCAAGCGACCGGTGATGGGTTCACCATCCTTCATCCTTGCGGTTATCATGGAGGAAATGATTTCATACCTCTCTTGACACGCGCTCTGATGGTACCTTTCCATCTGATCTAGGTGCATCTCATAGGGGTAGAAATCTTCATAAGATTTTTGGAGTTCCGGAGTCATTGTGGCCATCATGATGCAGGACACCTTGGTGGCATCCTTCTCATGTGCAATGAACTCCGCAAGCTCTTCTGGACTAGCAGTGGGTTCATTAACAACCTTAAGCTCCATATGAAGAACATATTCTTTGTCCTCATAGCGGGTAATCATCCTGATGTTTCTGATCCACTCATTGAAGTTGGATCCATCAAAGATGACCTTACCACACAAGTTCATTAGGGAAAAGGAGCATGTAGGGTTTGAGCCAGCAGCGTTATTGGAAGACATCTGGAATAGAAGGAAGATAAGTTTCATTAGATTAAGAGTCCTTAATAAGTCACCCAAATGAGATATTAAGGCTAGGATCCAAGAAACTATTTATAGGTAGAAGAGGGATGTCGTAATCCACACTATAAAATATTTGAAGGTAGGTAAATGACGATTTACCAATTTCCACCATGAAAAACGAAATATAATTAAGTTTTAATTGGATTTGAAACTCCTAGATCTTTTGAGATACATTGAACTTTCAATGGCATGTTTGAATCTCGATTGTGCCCTCTCAAGTTTATGACTGGGATGCCGAGGATCACAAACAAGGTGTGAATAACCATACAAATTGACTTGGGTACCCTCAACAATATTACCTAATCGATGTGCCGGTTAACCACACACGCTCCACCGATCTATAATAAAGTCAAGTTACCCTTTGCCACTCTTACTAGTCCATGTTAGTGTGCCGGTTAACCACACACGCTCCACTAACGACTTGGTAAGGTACAAAGTGTAATTTTATGGGCTAGCACCAATTTCACATTTTCCTAAAGTAACTAAGATTGGGAATTTATAATGTACAGTTACTTTATAATTCATTATAATTTTAATGAGAATTTAAAGTCGTATCCTACCCGTTCGGCTAACGACCCTCCACCGATCAAGGAAGCGGTGGGTGAGAGTGGACACCCATTAAGTCACCATTTTATAGGCAACAACCTTATACCCCCCCCCCCCTTATAGACCAGCTTCGTGAATGAGGCCTACTAACGGTAAGAACGACATATTCTTATACATATCTATATAATAAAATTATAATAATAGTATAAGGGTGTATTTTAAACATTTAAAATATTTGGTGATTTAATCTATTAATTAAATTATACTCTTAATTTAATTAAACTTAAACCATGTCTTTATGGAATTATTAACTCTTTTAATTAAACACATTAATTAATTTAATGAAGTCCATAAAATTTGAATTTTTTTTAACCTTTAAAAAAAATTGGAATCACTACAAGAAAAAGACCCTTTTACGACGTGCAAACGACGACACTCATTGATTTATGTTACGCAAAAGAGAGTGACATTAAAAAAGTGTAATCTCTTCAAAAAATTTAAGAATTTAGGTCGCACATTATTGCATGCCCTTAAGTTAGTGTCCAAAAAACAAAAACAAAAAAACACGGAGGGCACCTATAATAAGATGCGTGTCGTCTAAGGATGTCGCTTTATAAATTTAATTTGAACGCGCGTTCTATCCTTTAATAATTAGGGGGAACGCGTTCCATCCTTTAATAATTAGGGGGGAAAATGAAAAAATGAAATCCTAAAACATTAAAAACCCCGCCTTCCTTTTTTTCTTCTTTCCCTCTTGCCTTAATTATCGATTCCTCATTTTTATCTCGGATTTGAGTCTCCTCTTTCATAAAAAATAAGAGGTAGCAAGGTAAATTTTCTGAGATTCGAAACTATATGACTCGAATTAGAGGTTGAAGATCAGAAATCGATGGTTACAAATCAGATTTGGGATCGAAAGTCAGAGGTTCAAGGTACAATCGGAAACATCAAGAGAAGGAAAGCAAAAGCGGAGGAGGCATCAGGTTCGAAGATTGTTCTCTTCTTCTTCATGTATATACCCTGGATTTCTTTCTCTTACATTCAATCTCTAAAGATTCTTTTATTCCCTAAATCAGGTACAAAGATTATTCCCTTCTTCTCCATCTGTTTTTGGAACACATGGCTCTACGAACCCTCGCGACTGCTAAAACCCTAGGTGCGATATCCAAGTTTTAGCAACATGTGTGTGGATTGCAGACGTTCACGCTTCCCGATCTTTCCTACGATTATGGAGCACTGGAGTCGGCGATTAGCGGAGAGATCATGCAGCTCCATCACCAGAAACACCACTGGACTTACATAACCAACTACAATAAAGCTATCGAGCAGCTCGATGATGCTATCACCAAGGGAGATTTCAACTGTTGTCAAATTTCAGAGCACTATTAAGTTCAATGGCGAAGGTTAAACACTATAATTTCCTATCTTGTCGATTTCATTGTGTTTGGTTGAATACTTGCTAGAAGCGTTATGTACGAATTTACATCTATATCTTATATATATATATATATATATATATATATATATATATATATATATATATATATATATATATATATATATATATATATATATATATATATATATATATATATATATATTTAATAGATAGATAAATCTAAATAATAATAATAATCAATTTGAAGCTCTATTACCATCTGGGTTCTGTTTAAAATCTTCATTTTCTCTCTTCGAATCTGCAATTTCAAACTTGAAGGTATTCTAATGGCTTCCTCTAGTGGTACGACAACATCATCAGGTGGTTCATACCCAATTCAGAACTCGGGGTCTGATGAAGATCTTCAGCAATTGATGGATCAGAGGAGGAAGAAGAGAATGATTTCGAATCGTGAATCTGCAAGGAGATCTAGAAAGAGGAAGCAAAAGCATCTGGATGATCTCACGAGTCAGATGAATCAACTCAGGAAAGAGAACAACCAGATCATATCAAGCGTCAGTATCACCACCCAGCATTACATAAGCGTGGAGGCGGAGAACTCTGTTCTGAGAGCTCAGGTGGCGGAGCTCAGCCACCAGCTACAGTCTCTGAACGAGATGATCGCTTTTATGTACCAACCTATCGACACCGGTTGTGGGTTTGAGGACGAGCAATACGGCGGCGGAGGTGGCACTGAGTTTGTCGACGAGTTCATGAATAACTCACTGAGTTACCTTTATGCAAACCAGCCTATTATGGCTTCAGCGGACATGATTCAGTACTGAGTCAGATGTAAATCTCCTAAAAGTCTTGAAAAAAAATTCAGATTTGGTGATAGCTTGGGTGTGTAAGGGTGGGGTGGGGTGGGTGGAATAAAGATTTGTGAACAAAGGAAGATGAAGATTTATGTGATGATTTATGGGTACAAAGAGCTATGATTGTAATGGGTCTTTCTTGTAATGGGTCTTTCTTGCAAGGTTAAACACTATAATTCGATTGGAAACTTCCTCTTCAAGTCCTAAATAGGTTAAAGTGAAACAACTGAACAACACATTTAGGACAAATTTGATGCTAGGAGGATAATAATATTCATACAACCACAGATATCTAATCTACCCTTATGTCTCTGAGCAGGTCATGTAAATCACTCAATTTTCTGGAAGAATCTCACTCCCACCAGTGTTAGTTTCTTGACTTCTTCTTCTGATTTAAATGATAATTCTGACTTCCAAGCACTATAATTTGACCAAAACTGAAACCCTAAAACCTTATTGCATGAAGGAGGTGGCGAGCCACCACATGGTTCTTTGGGCTCGGCTATCAACCAGAGCTTTAGTTCTGTGGAAAAATTGATTGCTAAAAAGAACGCAAAAGGCGCTGCTGTGCAAGGTTCTGGATGGGTGGTATGTTCCTTAATCGTTATTTTGTCATTTTGGTTTTTTCTTTCAACTTTTTTTTTGTTATTTTAAACTTATGATATATTTTGGCAGTGGCTTGCTGTTGACATAGAGTTGAAGAGGCTTGTGGTTGAAACCACATCAAACCAGGTAAGTTATCACTAGTTTTATTCAAACAAATTAGTATCCCTATTAAACTTCACAAATCAAATTATTGAAATATGAATCTCTGTTGTAGGACCCACTGGTTACAAAAGGTCCAAGTTTGGTTCCTCTGCTTGGCATAGATGTTTCGGAGCATGCATTTAAACAAATTTCATTTTTGTATGGTATACAAATTGTACACATTTCAACTTATATATGTGTTTTTGTACAATTTGCAGTATAAAAATGTCAGGCCCGATTACTTAAAGAACATCTGGAAGGTGATCAACTGGAAATATGCAAGTGAGGTATATGAGAAAGAGTGCCCTTAAAAGAGTTGCAGGTTTGTTAAGATTTAAAGGATGCAATAAAGAAACACTATTTTACCCTTGGGATAAGAACATACTGTGTATGAAACCAGTTTTCCTGTTACACATTGGATTTTTCTGATTAGAATCCATTGAATCATTGAGTTTCAGTCAATAACTAACATTCCTTTGTGCAGATGAAGCTTATGATTGATGTTTAAGAGCTGTTCAAATACTACCTATACATTCTCTCTCTCTCTCTCTCTCTCTCTCTCTCTCTCTCTCTCTCTCTCTCTCTCTCTCTCCCTCTCTAATAACTTTGTGATTAAAACACGATTTTTTGTGCAGCTTCCAGAATTTATGATGGGTCTTGCAAATCTTGCTTTAATTTCTGGTGAACGTTCATCTTTAAAGGTACTTGTTATATGCAAAGAAAAGGGTCATAGTCTTGCATCAGATCCCACATCCATATTTACACTTACATACCCTCATTTGTCACAGGTTTTGGGACCCATAAGCCAGGCCTTGCATCATGCACCCCAATATTTGGATGGCTTACCAACTGTATGCATATTACATGTACTCCGCCTCGCAAATTTGGATTCTGCTTGTAAGTTTATGATTTATTTATTTATTTATGTATTTTCCAATGTATTTTTCATAAAAATCTTGTGAAATATGTTTTTCATAAAAAGAGGGAGTAGTGATAAATTAAGATTTATTTATATCATTTAATAAATCTTTTACACATTTGAAGTTATTAAGATTTATTATGGACATTATTGCTGGAACATATCAAGTAATTGAAGCTAGTGCTGACTCATTGTTTGATGGTAGAAGCTGTAAGTTCTTCTCAACTTTTTTTCTTTATTATTATACTAGGTTATAACGTGTGGACACCATAAAAAAATTTAAAACTAATGTTAATTAAATTATAGGGTTAATCTAAAAGATACCTTATTTTGTGTTTGTTTTGAATAAAACTTCAAAATTACTTTTTGCCCAGATAAAAAAAATTCTGTTTTTTTCATTTTTCCCGATCCGGCCATTTTAATCATTTTTTTGTCAAAGAATTTGTACACTAAATAGCACATAGGGGGAGGGAGGAGGGTGTTAAAATGATTATACGATGAAACATAAATTTTGTAAACTAAAATTTAATAATAATAATTTATCGTGTTAAAAAAAGGTTGTAAAAGTATTTATGATTCAAAGTAATATAATTTTTGATAATTATTTAAAGATAAAAAAAAAGTAATTAAATTAATTGAAATCTGATCCTTATGATTGAAAGTAATATAATTTTTGCTAAAAATTACATAAATGCTCCCTCTGTTAACCAATTTACAAAACAACTCATGTCTTAATAAATTAAATGAAATCTGATCCTTATGTTATTCAATTGACATAACAACCCCTGTGTAACTAAATTTTCAAAGCAGTACATTTGTTTTAAAAAATTACATAATGGCCCATGTGTTTATAAAATTTAATGAAATTTGGTCCCTTTGTATAAATCAAAGTCTAAAGAAGTAATCACATTGATTTTTTTTTTGCATTTTTTTTATAATAATTGTTGTAATGTTGATTACATTCAGTACAGTTTTAACAGAAACTTTAAGTTTTTCATTTAAACATTATGTTCAAAAAGTTTTAAAAAAAATTGTTACAACCGAAAAGTATGATTTAGATTTATGAAATCACCATTACATCAATTATGCTAAAAAATTCAAGGATACCTGACATTATTTCTTTAAAGGGAAAAGGACAAATATGCCTTTTTCTTTATAATTTATGAAAAAACAACAACAAATGAAACAAAAAACAGATACCACACTTTTGTTGTATGCTATCTCCTTCTCACGAAATAGATACCATAGAAAACAGATACTAAGTATACATAATGAAACTAAGATGATATATGAAACTCAAATCTTTAAAAAAAAAAGTAGTAAAAGGAGAAGAAGATTCGTAACAGAAGGAGAATGAAAAGAAATAAACTATAAACTGAAACTATGGATAGGTAAATGAAACTAGTTGCTAATTCTTGCGTTTAAACTTTTAATATTGTGTTTTTTTCTTTGTTTAAAATTTGTTAAGTGTTTTTTTAATAGATTGTAGCCTCGGAATCCATACGAGACACAGGAGCAGTTGCAAGTTCTCGGGTTGCTGAAAATGGGCTTGATATTCTAGCACAAACAATCCAGGTGTCACCTAGTTATTAAAGTTATATTTGTAAACATGTATATAAATACAAGGGCATTTTGGTCGTTATACCCCCATAAAAGTTTTTAAAAAAGATAGGTAACTATTTGTTGCGCTTAATTTATGGATTGATAACATTAAAAAAATCATATCTCATAGTATTTTCAAATATACATTTCTCCTTTTGTCTTACAATTTTTATATTGAATGTTCAAGATGATTTAGATAACATAACTCGTTTTCTAATACTAGCAAGAGAACCTATAATCCAAGGAATTGACAAGCCCCATAAGGTAACAAAAAAGATAATTTATTTTATTGTATTTTAAATCAAATTATCAAATCATATATAAACTACCCAAACAATATTCAAATTTTATTTTATCGCCTCAATTTTGCAGACGATCATTGTGTTTACATTAGAAGAAGGCCTGAGGGTCTTGTTCAATGGTTTAGTTGTGTTTGCTCTAAGGGAGATCAACTTATCAAAAGTAAGTTATTTTTTTCACCCTTTTATTTAATATTTTTCTAATTGAATGAAAGTCTTAATGAAAGTAATTGACAACCCTTTTTCTGTAAATGATGTTGTGATTGTGGGAGAGGTGTTTTGTTTTTCTCTGTTGCTAGGTAACCTTCTTAACAACATCATTCTACTTAAGTAGGTGATTAATCAAGATTAAGGGAGATTTTTAATCATGTTTGGCACTCCTTTCCAGTAAGAAACAAAGTTGTATGATTATTTGTTAGTTTTATAGGAATGTACAACCCATGCTAGCAATGTATTATTTTTGTTTAACATTTGAATGATTCTTTGTATGACATTATAATTTGTGCAATTTATTTTATTTTTTGAGTAGGAAATTTTATTTTATATTATGTAATGGATTGTATTTTTTGTATACAGTATTTTATTTCTATTATGAGAAATTAATAAATATATAATTTTTTTTAAACATTAAAATTTACGATACGCAAAAAAGTGTGTCCTCTTCATTTATGACATGGCCTTTCTTGACAGGGGCTTTCTTGATACACATTGTGTGTCATTAACACGCGTGTCGTTTTCCTTTATGACATGGCCTTCCTTGATACGCATTGCGTGTCGTAAACGCGCGTCGTAATTGCGCGTCGTAAATGAGCGTCGTAAATGCGCGTCGTCTATAGACGACGCGCAAAAGTGCATCGTCTCTCTTTATGACAGGGCCTTCCTTGACGCGCATTTGCGCGTCGTCTGAGCCTTTTACGACGCGCAATGAGCGTCGTAAAAGGCTGTTTTTCTAGTAGTGAATTAAAGTGTAAGACTTTACAAATTCCAAAACTTGAGGGCAATAATTGAAACTATTCCAAGTCTCTTCAATTTGTAACTTATGAGTTTTAATAGTTCATAAAAATGAAGACTCTTCATTTTATGAAACCTCTTTAGTTCTTTAAACACAAATTAAAGAAGTGACCTTTGGTTATCCATAACTTGAGACAAGTTATGGACATCATTATTGCCATTAAGATCATGAATTAAACATACATGGAGGTTACACATAATTCCTATGATCTTCTAAAAACTCATAAGAACACAAATTCATGTCATGCAATTTCAAGAAATCATATAAACATATACAATAGTTGAAAATTCATAAAAGTCATGCAAAAATGGGTAAACATATACATCGAGTTACCAATGCGTTTTCGTACAATCAATGAATAACCAATTCATAGTCAACAACTCATATCTCTAGGTTTGAAGATTTATATGATATTACCGTCTCATGATCACTCGAGATAAATTCCATGAAGTGATACAAGTGAGCGTGGGTTGAATCCAATACTCAGCCCTTATGTGTACTCATGAATGTTGTAGCAACCATTGCATTGTCCAAAGCACATTACACAAATTGTACAAGCCAAATTCATGACAGTCTTAAATCAATACTTACTTCTAAAGTTTGACTGACTGTGGATGGTTTGAATAATATGATATATACCATAACATAATTATTCTGGAAGTAAAAACAAGCAAATTTGAAACATAGTAAACAATCAACATAAGATAGTAACACCTTACTCATAAATAAATAACAACTTTTATTTATCATCAAATGTCAATTACATTTTACAAGTTTCAGGAATCTAATTATTGAAACTAATATCATCCTTCAGCCCAATGCGCCTTGCATGTTGTAAATGCTTAACCCTGCTCAGTCCCTTCGTGAGGGGATCCGCCGGGTTCTCATTTGATGATACCCTCTTTGCCACGAGGAGTCCTTGTTCTATTCTATGTCTGGTGAAATGATATTTTCTGTCAATGTGCCTAGATCTCCCGTGATCTCTTGGTTCTTTCACCAAAGCAACCGCACTTTCACTGTCACAGAAATTTGCATTGGCTCCTTTATAGCTGGTACAACTCCAAGGTCTCCGATGAAGTTCTTTAGCCATATCGCCTCTTTTGCTGCCTCGCTCGCTGCTATGTACTCTGATTCACAAGTCGAATCAGCTACTGTCTCCTGCTTGGAACTTTTCCAAGTAATGGCTCCTCCATTTAGGATAAAGACCCAGCCTGACTGAGAGCGAAAATTATCCCTATTAGTTTGAAAGGTAGCATCACTATATCCTTCCACTCTCAAGTCATCACTGCCTCCGAGGGTAAGGACCCAGTCCTTAGTCCTCCGCAAATACTTGAGAATGTTCTTTACCGTTGTCCAGTGTGCCTTGCCAGGGTTCCCTTGATATCTACTGACCATGCTCAAAGCAAAGGCCACATCAGGGTGAGTACAAGTCATGGCATACATGATCGAGCCCACAACGGAAGCATATGGTATCTGACTCATTTTAGCTATCTCAGCCTCTGTACTCGAACTCTGAGTTTTACTTAGTTTGACATTACTCTGGATTGGTAACTCTCCTTTCTTGGAATCTTGCATACTGAACCTCTTCAGTACCTTATCCACATAAGTACTTTGACTAAGTCCAATTAGTCTCTTACTCCTATCTCTCAATATCCTTATCCCTAGGATATAGGCAGCTTCCCCAAGGTCCTTCATAGCAAAACACTTCCCAAGCTAGGCCTTAACCTCCTGCAAAGTTGGGATGTCGTTTCCTATGAGAAGTATGTCATCCACATACAACACCAAGAAGCTAATTATGCTCCCACTAGCCCTGACATATACACAAGACTCGTCCTCACTCCTAGAAAAGCCAAACTCTTTGACTTTCTCATCAAAGCAAAGATTCCACCTGCGAGATGCTTGTTTCAATCCATAAATGGATTTTTCAAGCTTACACACTCTATTAGGGTACTTTAGATTGACAAAACCCTCTGCCTGATCCATGTAAACATCCTCAACCAACTTCCCATTAAGGAAATCGGTTTTGACATCCATTTGCCATATTTCATAGTCATGAAATGCAGCTATGGCTAACAACACTCTAATAGACTTAATCTTGGCCACTGGTGAGAAGGTCTCATCATAGTCAACTCCCGAAGTTTGAGTAAAGCCCTTCGCAACCAGTCGTGCTTTATAAGTGTGTACTTTCCCATCCATGTCGGTCTTCTTCTTGAAGATCCATTTGCACCCAACTGTCTTACGACCTGGTACATTGTCAACCAAGTTCCAAACTTGATTGTCATACATGGACTGAATCTCGTTGTCCATAGCCTCCTTCCATTTCGTAGACTCAGGGCCTGCCATGGCTTTCTTATAATTATTAGGTTCATCCAAATCTATCAGTGTACTATCACTGATAAATGTATCACCTTCAGTGGTGATGTGATAACCATAATAAAATTCAGGTGTGTTCCTCACCCTAGTGGAACGTCTTGGAGGTATAGACTTGTCTATCGTCTTGGAGGTATTTTTATAAAAATACAAATCCTTTTTTAATATTATAAAAAAACATCTTTTAGAATCAATAGCAAAGAAAAAACAAAGTTTTAGTATACCATATAAATAGATTATATCGATAAATCTTATTGGAAAATTTTTAGGATTGATTAATTTTGGTTAGTTAGCGGGTTTGTTTTGTTAACCTGTGTTATCTGGGCATGCCCAGAAGTATAGTAAGAATCTTGCACAACCTTATTCTTTCGTTTAACTAGTTTGAATCTTCTTATTGACTTTACTTTCTCAAAAATAAATAGGTACACCCTACACTATTGAAAATAGGGTTGGGACCATTATTAGTATCAAGGTTTTCTCAGCAATAAGAGAAGATATTAGTATAAAAGTTGCAATATAAACCATTTTTAATTACATAATAATAACTAAATAAAGATATGTGAAGGATTATTTTTATAATGTAAATTGCAATATATAACATAAAAATCGTATGAAATTTTTGTTATGTTCCATTCTATGCATCACAAACATGTTTTTGGAATGAAATTACTCATTGTATTATCTTGCTTTTTCATTTACCTAACAATTCCATTTATTTTTTGTTCCATTCTTTGCAACCTTAAATATCTCAAAAAAGTAATTCAAAAATCCATCACAAAATAGAAAATATTTTATAAACTCCTATTAGGGAAGAAGAAAGATAAGACTCAATGAGTTTATGGTGTTAATCTAATTATGATGTTCTTTCGTCTCTATTTGCATGTTTTTAGCTTGTTTATAGTATTGTCTATAAAACATTGTTGTTATATTTGAAAGTTCATTTTACCATTTTCATCTTTTTGTGTGTATATTTTAATATTCTAGGTGTTTTAGAGTATTAGAGGGAACCTTTCTGTTTGGGAGTGGGGTGAAGTCAAGGGCCCTAAAACTGAAGGGTAGTTGTATTTAGAGTCACTTGAATATTGAAGATTTTTGTTGACATCAATTTCAATGATCATATGTAACCTACAAAAGATATCATAACTATAGTTTATTTTTTATAACGTTTTGTGTATTTATTATTAAATGTTGTATAGGTGATGGCTACAAGGTGTGGTCACCCCTGTCTAGGATCGATGGTAATTTGGTAACTCTTTAAATATTACACTCTATTAAAGAATACAAACAAATATTTTTTACTTTTTGTTCATTATGAAAGAGGCATTGGTATAATGGTCCTTTTAATAAAAATTGTTTATTTTATTGGTTATTACGTTCTATGTCTACAACATAATTACCACATTTTGATTATGCTTATTTAGTATATCATAATATTTGATTTGATATAAATTTATGATTTTAAGGTGTTTGGAATAGTAAGAGTTAGAGATTGTTTTCAATTCGCTAATCCTAATCAATCTTTTATGTAACCATAAATTATTCCAAAATATAAGACATGAAATTTAAATTCCATTAAGTATGCGAGAAATCAGGGATTTATCCATATTTAAAATTATTGGGTATGCTTCCGCTTTGTGTGTGTGTGTGTGTCTATATATATATATATATATATATATATATATATATATATATATATATATATATATATATATATATATATATATATATATATATATATATATATATATATATATATATATATATATCATTGATGATATCTTTTATCAGGCTATTGATCATCACCATTCTCCATTCTCTCAAAAATACACAGAAAGAAGGTTGATTTGATTTTTACTTAACGATTTAGATTTGGAGTCGAACGAACGGAATTATAATCAGGGAAAGGAAAGAAAACAAGTAACTCAAATTCCACTTGACAACTTCTTATTAATCTCATATATGCTTGTTTCTTGATAATGATTGTTACTCAAGTTGCTTAATTTTTGTGGATTTCTTGTAGTTCGAAATTTGAGTCGACAAACAACAGAAATTGTCGAATTCATTTGGGTTCTTGTGAATGTAAGTAAAATATATTTAGATTTTTATGTTATGAGAGTGTCAAATTTTGTGGTTTGAAAATTAATTGCCACACTTGTATTATTTAGAAAGTTGGATCGGACCTTTGTATGAGATTCCCCATTTTCTGCATACTTTTGACGAAGGTACAAGTAAAAAAGGATTGAATGTACTTATATATAGCGAGGAAGGTCTTCCAACTAATATAACAATAAGTTATGTCTACAAGAGGTGATAGATGCATTTTATGCACCTATTTTGCATGTTTATTTTCATCCTTTCATCGCATTTTACTTCATAATTCTTGCATTTAGTTAATTATTTGGGTAATTGCATATTCCAAAAAGAATGTCTGGTACTTCACTATTTATGATTTATTTTGCAGGCATTATGGAGCATGGATCATGGATCATGGAGCTTGAAGAGAAGATAAATCGGTCATTCCATGGAAGAAAACATGAAGACATAACCCGAGTCATTGTTGTATTATCATCATAGCAAAGGACTACATTTGAAATGCGGTTCTTGTCACACCGACATAGGTCGTGTCTGTCCTTTCTCGTTTTATATTTGGGCAACATGACTTGTGGTGAAGCTAGACAGAAGATGGGGCCGACAGTGAAGACTTATTGTACTTTTAGCAAAAAGCATGGGCCATGCCAAAAATACATGGTTAATACAAATGGTCATGTCAAAAACACATGGGCAAAAGGCATGACCATGCTAAAAATGCATGGTCTTATAAAAAGCACGTGAACACTAAATAAAACAAAGGCAGACGTCATTTTATGAGGATAGACGGTTTCTAAAGGATTTTTTTGGCGATCTTAGACGATTTGGGAGATTTCTTGGAGTTTTTGAGAAGACCTAATCATTACAAACACTTTTGATTTCATTTTTGTAAGCATTAAACATTCCAATTCCATCTTTATTCTTGTTTGATTTGTTCTTAGCCATGTGTGGCTAAGAAACCCTAGTTTCTAATTCTTTTTCAAAACATGTTGATTGCTTGACTTGAAGCATATGATTTGATGTTTGATTTGTGATTCTATTCTAGTGATTATGTTTTCGTTTAAACTAGAACCCTTAAATTTGATTTGTGTTTGATTGGCCACTTTCATGAATTGAATTTTTGTGCACTTAATTAACTTTTAGGGCACCTAATTGTTCTGTAAAGTTAATGATTGGTAACAAACAATAAGTTTTCTTGGTTTAAAACATATATCACATGTTTTCACACTTACGAGCGTATGAGAAGAAATGAACATTATTGGGAAGCTTGTACAAAACTCAATGCAGTTTTTCAATACAATCTAAGAGCGTGTTTAGGTTGAATTAGTAAAGCTAGGTCTAGTCAAAGAGCTTGTTTTGGTTATATAATTTGGCAAACGAGATGTATTAGAGCGTGTTAATATCTTTCAGTACCAACTTAGAATAGCAATCACAAATTACATCAAGTCATAATCAGGTTAAAGGACAACATTGAGAACTAGAACTGGAAGAACTTTTACAATTTGTTTTCAAATCTATTTCATTTTTTGCATGTTTCAAAGTTGATTGTTATTTTCTTTATTTAACCTTTTCATATAAATCCCCTTTTGTGATCAAAGTACCTTGTGCAAAGATATATAGACTTTTGTCCCGTGTCTCTGTGGTTCGACCCTACTTGCCTTGTACTACTTTTTAGTGCATTAAAACAGTGTATTAGGAATCTATTGTACCTCTATTATTTGTTGGGTTTGACACGCCTAACAAAAGGTCCTTAAATGATTATAGATATTCAGGTGTTTCATTTTTTTTTCAAACATTTTAATGTTACCAATAATGTAAGTCTGTTTCTGTTACTTTATAGTGCCAGTTTTTTTTATAGTTTTATATGTTCCCCGCATTTTATGCAGGTCATAATCTAGTCCATTAGATTAAATCAAGTGTCATAATCAAGAAATGAGATTAAGAGAGAAAATTAGGAGATGCCACATGTCATTGGTTTATAGGAGAGAAAAATAAGTAGGAACAAAATATAAGAGTATATTTAATTTTTCTATTTAATCAAATAAACTTATTTAAGACTAATATTTCAGTATATTACTTCATGGTTCATACATAGGAGTGAAAATATTTCAATATATTACTTCATGGTTCATACATAGAAATTATTATAGCAATAAGCATTATTGACATAAAGATGCTACCATTTTTCGTATATCTCCTGTGTGCCCGACTTTTTTTTTTTGTTTAAACTTAACTATTTTCATTTCCTCTAGGGCCAATGTTTATGTATGATGGTGTGGATACATCGACCCATGTATTGGTAATCCATTTATATCACTATCTCATTTTAAAATATTTAACTTGTATCATGTATGAATGTATATGAACTAATGGAATAACTTGTTTGGATGGGTAAAATGTGAAGTAGATAAAGGCATTTTCTAGATATCTAAATCCGAGTACGAATCCAAAATTTTGCATACAAATTAGGATATCAAAATCTACTATCCGAAATTTTTGGATATCCAGTTTGAACACCCCTATGAGTTCGACATGTTAATCAAATCGAAACCTATGATAAGACTCGAATTATGTAACAATAAATCAATTTCACTATCCTTTTTAGTAAATGAGGGAAAACCAAGCAATAATCCCAAAGTCCCAAACCTGGATCCCAATTAAGGGGGTGTTTTGTAGAGGTCACAAAGTTGAGTTGTGGAGTTTGATCAAATTATGACATCATAATCCACAAGTTGCAATGCTTGAGCCAATGTCCACATTATTCAACACCACACAACTGTGATGCTGAATGAGAAGATTGTAGTGCAAGGACCATAAAGTATGATGATAATGTTTTTTGGACTTGGCCGACAACAAATTTTAGGTCAACTTGTCATTATAATACATCTTGTTGTATATTTGTTATCCTATACAAAAAAAATGTTGATGAGTATTAAATAAAATCTCTTTGGTTCATCCGTGGCCGACGCAACTCGGTAAAGCTGAGCGAGTGAACCACATTAGTAAATCCTTGTGTTCTTTATTTTATTCTCATATTTAACACACTGTGGAAAAGGATGGGTCATTTTCGGATTGACATGCTTAATTGAACATATTCAAATTCACCATCCAACCTACATGTTTAATAAATAGATTGAAATGAGATTGATCTATTTATTTTATTTTCTTAATGTAATATGTTTAATAAACATGTTGAACCCCATGAATCCATTTAAAATTCAAAAGGTAAATTGGATAATTGCATTGTATTTTTTGTTTAACATAATACAACACAACAATTTTTTATTTAACATGAATACAACACAACACAATATATATCCATATCTCGTGATCGAAGTTGAGTAAATAGAAGCATAAAGAAATCTGAGAGAAATATGGGAAAAAAACTGTCCATTTGAATTGGTTGCAAATTATTATAATACTTATGACTTGTAGACCTTGAATGTTATACATGATGAGCATAATAATGACCTTGCGATGTTATATTGATAGTCATTGATTTGCAAATTAGTTGAAAGATTATGAGTCCTTTATGGTGGCAGTAATGATGTGATATTCTATTAACGTTGAAGAGTTGAAATGAACATAATCTTCGACATGCTTCCCGGTTTGGGGGATTCCATAACACTTCTCAAATCATACATCTATTGATATCACCATTGTTTAAGCCTTTAAGGTTCTCATTATATGAATGTTGATTTAGAATAAAGGCATCAAATGCCTACTGTTTTGTCATTGTGGACTACAATTTCTGACGGATAGAAAACTGTATATATTGTTTGACTAAGCCATCGAATAGACCATATAGTAGTTGTAATATACACAAGGGTGATATACCACATAATTAAAAAAGTTATAATTCATTTACTATTAGTTTTATATGTTTATTATTAAATTTATTATAATACAAAAACAACAAAATGAGAAAAATACAAATAAGAAATAAACAACAAAATACAAAAATGACAAAAAGAAGAAAAAAATTAAAAATCAGTTGAGTGATTTAAAACAGCCAAGTGACTAATCTAACATGATAGCTCATTTTTTAGACAATGAAATGGCTATATTAAAGTATCTAGTTTTCTTGTTTGCTAGATCTTCGGCCACATGCATTTGCAACTTCTGAAATAACACATCAATATTTATTGAATTTCCGAAATGAGATGTCAACAACGGTTCAATAACAGCTCTGAGAGCTTTAGCACAGTTTTTGGCATGGATGTGGCTGATCTGCTCATTCAAATCTACCAAATTTGTGTAGTCAGTGTCATATGGATCCCAGTTACCTTGAAAAACATTAAAGGTATTAAGACAAAAGGATCCTTCATTGTGAATAGCTTTCCTGACTTCATCCTCGCATGGGGAATAATAGGGGAGATTGAATGAGTTGATAAATGATTCTTCGACCAGCCCCTGTTGATAGTTTTAAAAATCATAAATTGCTAGATCATAACACTGAATAAAATGTTGTTGGTTAGTTTGTTATCATATGTGGACATAGTAACGAAGAACATCATACCTCTTTGACCATATCTAGAAGTGATTGTGCTAATAGCTCCATAAGACGGCAACCATCATCAGTGGTTGGATCAGCACTACTCCGACCAAGAAATGTTAAAACCATGCACCCACCACGTACTACTTCCTTAGAGCGCAGTTGTAAAAAATTTATAAAGTCAGTATAAAATTGGTTTCCATATGCTTTAAACACATCTGGAGGACTTGTTTTTGCCATGTATATATTTGCTTTGTTGTTTTCAATGCCTTCAGGTACCTAGCAATCACATACCGTTAGCACTACGAATTTGTATTAAAAACAGTTTGTATATATTTATTACAATTACTTACAACCATAGAGTTCATTATGTGCAAACCTTAGAAAGCCAGTGAAGAGCATAAGAGGAGTGAACAAGGTGTAAGCTTTCATCTGGAAAGAGCCTACCATAAAAGGAACCTGGAATAGCTGAAACAAAACAAGACCCAAAATTTTCTCCCTTCTCCTTCTTAAGGTTTGCAGTAAACTTGGGTAACAATTGGAAAATAGTATTGAAATCATTTCCAAAAAGATCATTTAAGAAGACTTGAAATTGTGGTGCTTTAAGATTATTTTCTTTACAGAGCTTAAGGACTAAATCAATAACCATAGATGCAAGCAATAGTGTATTTGTGCCGGTGCCACATCCTAAATCTGCTAGTACAAAAACGTTGCTTAAGGCAGCTTCAAGATCAACCATACCCTCTATTGTATGCTTTAAAACATGCAGTGTTTTCCGTATGACAATTTCCTGAAAAACATAACGTTTTAAGACGCATTTGTTAATGAGTTATGATACTTAAGACGCACTTGGTAGTGTTTGATGGTGGGGGGCGTCTAAATTTCCCAATGTGTATTTAATGAGAAAACTAAAGAGACCTGAAGAAATGAGTTACTCGCGTAGCTTGATTCTCCATCGCCAACCTTCATGTGTAGTGTGTTTTCTACTTCCATGACTATGTTTTCCTTTGCCTTTGTTGTAAAGCTGTCTTCATTTATAACCTTCCACGAGTGAACTGTTCATTTCAAATTCTTTTCATTTTCGTTTAAATTATTACTATTTTTAGATTATTATAGTTTATAGTGATAAAGTATGAAATTAAATCTTAATTAATTGCTATTTTTAGATTATGATAGTTTCTCTTTTAGAGTAAATTACACTAAATGTCTATATGGTTTAGGGTAATTTGAATGTGTGTTCTCTAATTTTTTTTTTTACTTGAACAGTCCGTTCATCTTTATATTTTTGTGCACTTGGAAATTAAGAGTGTTTGTAGTGTTCACGTTTTTGCATGTGTTTGTAGTGGGCATATGTAACAATATTTTAGTGTTCCATGTGTGCCGTGGAATGATGGTGTTCTTTCGACCACATAAATAAACACCAATGGACGCTTAAATCTTCTTGGTTGCATTTTTGTTGACAAGGATGCTCACATAATAATTAAGGCTGCCGTTTTTATTGACAAGGGTGTGGGCCGGGTGAAGATATTATAATTAGGCCAAGAGAAACCACTGACATTGCTATTGCTTAGGTGAGGCCCTTATATAAACTAAAGTGGTCCAACTGTTTTAATTGCCAACTTGGCGCGTTTTGGGGTGCGGTTCCCTTCCCATCACCTCTTCCCCGCTTCCAATCCCTTTGGCCTTAAGCCTAGCACGTGAGGATATAGATATAAGAATGGATTTGATACCTACCACCCAATTATCCCAAGCCCATATGCCCAAAGCCTAGTTGCATTTGTTAGAGCAATGGGTTTGCATAACTAGTCATAATATTATTTTGATATCACCTTATATTTCACATCACCAATGGGTGTTATAACATCAAGTGAGAAAATGATCACCATGTTACATTTTGTTACAACACCAACTTTTTTTCACTTTATAATTTTTTTTTCATTTAAACAAATATATTTTTTAAATATAACATAATAAATAAAACATAATGTTTAAAAATTATAAATAAAATAGAATAAAAATAATTTTTAAAATTAAAAATAACATACAAATTAAATTACACTTAACATTCAAATTAAAAAAAAAACATTATTCGTTAAAAAAATAATATTTTCTTAAAAACTAAACGCTATTCGTTATCGTTACTATATAAGATATAATCCGCCAAGTCCTCTCAAAATTGTCTGTGTTTATTTGCGTCCTGAATGTCAACGTCTTTATGTAAATACTCTGATGTTCCTAGTTAAAATTGAACGTGTCTGGGCTCCGTTGAAATATAGTGTGCAATATTTCGTCATTTATCTTCTACTACCATGTTATGCATTATGATACATACATACATGATGTATCGTAGAGTTTCTAAATCAAATGGTCGTGTTGCATGTTCAACTATATATCACTTCGCGTTCAGCACTCCAAAAGCACGCTCTACATCCTTACGCGCTCCTTCTTGTCTTCTCTTAAAAAAATTGTCTCTTTCTTCAACCGGGCGTTGAAATACCTTCACGAATGTGGAATACTGAGGATATATTTCATCTGTAAAGTAATATCCGTATTTGTATTCATTTCCATTCACCGTGAAAGGAGAATTCGGGGCCTATCCATTCAAAAGATCGTCAAATATTGGCGACTAGTCAAGAACGTTGACGTCGTTGTTGGAACCCGCAACCCCAAAAATGCATGTTAAATCCATCAATCTTGAGAAGCAACAACCTCTAAAACCAAGGAATGCGATCCGTAATGACCACTTGTGTATTACCCTTTCCATGCTACCAGACAATTTTTCCATTTCGAGTGTGTGCAATCAATGCTTCCAATCATTTCGGGAAACCCATGTCATTCTTCATGCATCGCATACAATTCTTGCAAATCATGCAACGAAAGTTTCGGCAAATACATGTCTCCAAATGTTTCAACAACACCCCTCGACAATGTATACAAGTTCTCCATTGCGGTTCTGTCGGACATTCTCATATGGTCGTTCAACGGAGCCCATACACGTTCAATTGGATTGCATTTTCGTTTTTTGAAGCTAATATATACACGTTCAATCCAGTTAAAGGATGCGACTTGAACATTATCCGTCGTCCGCATTGGATTGCATTTTCGTTTTTTGAAGCTAATATTCTGACTTTCCACAGAAACCACAACACCTAACAGTGAGCAAATTGCATTTCATCTTGTCCGCTCCCATGGAGCTAATCAACGACTTCCGAGAAAAGAAATTGTGAGGGATCGCCAATTGACTACCAACCCATGAGAAGAACCGTTTCCACACCTTTGTAGCATAATCACAATAAAAAAAACATGGATAGTCTCTTCATCCTCCGTATGATACAATTTGCATGAAAAAGAGTCAATAGTAACACCTCTAATAGCAAGGTTGCGAGCTACTGGAATCATGTTTAGCATGAGCCGCCACACAAAGCAATTGACATTCAAAGGAATCCAACTAACCCCTTTAAAACAACTGCAACATCATCAAAAATAGCATTAGCCACCTACTGCCTCAAAGAATCAACCAAGAAAATACCATTTCGTTTCTAATGCGACCTTACTCCTTTGCTCTGGTTCGATGTCTGTTGTGGCACTAGAAGGTATCTGCAAGGTCACAAGAGAAAATCGCCGTTAGCCGCTTCCCGGGAGGGGGCTCCTGGAAGAACGCTCCAACGGTCAAGTTAGATAAGGTTTGAGGTGTTTTCTGGTAGGAATAGTTTAGTGAAGAGTGCTTACCTTTAGGGCACCTGAATGCGTCTTTTTATACTTAGCGACCCTGTTCATCCGTACGATAAAGGATCACTTTTAGGGGACAAGGTCAGAGGCGCTGATTGGAGGGTTGTACGCCTCTTTCTGTCAAAGTACTGCCATTGGCTCCAGTGGTAATGCTCTTATCGTTCACCTTTTCGCTTGATCGTATCCTTTGTCTTGATGCCGGGAGCGTCCCTGGCGGGCGCGAGCTTTTCACCGGGGCGCCCCGCTCTTAGGAGTGTTAGCAGGCACTGAGTCCGCTTCTCTTGGCTCGGCCGGGGCGCCAGGTTTCTTGGTCGGGCATGACTCTTCCATGCTGGCTTTGGCACATCATCAATTCCACTAGTCCAGTAGCTATAGTGTTGTACTACTCGATACAGCGTTCTGGGCTTGATAGCCTTACATGTGTTGTTTCTTCGTTCGCTCGTCGTTTCGGTTTTAATGGTGACATGACCGCTCATGATGGCCAACGGTTATGTCATCGTGTAAGATATTTTGAACTGTTGGGTTTTAGCCATAAGAACTTTCCTATGTGCGCATGCAAAACCCTATTGCTTGGATCTAGGCTTTCTATCAAACATGCTTTTGAATCCAAGACTTCTAATGGCTAATTAGGTTAAACAATAACATTAATACAGATCTAGAATCATACCTTTGAGTTCCTTGTTGATCTTCTTGTCTTGGAGCTTCTAGAGTCACAATTGTCACTCCTCTGATGGTTCACAAACACCAATAGCAAGCAAGATGATTTAGGAGAGAGGAGAGGGGATGGAATTCGGCCAGAGGTTCCTTTCTTTAGGTTCTGAAAGCTTGTACACGAATTCCACACCCCAAGGGCCTATTTATACCTTTAGACTCCTTAAGGGTTTCATCCTAAACCCTAATTGGATAATCTTCACTTAAGGCTATCCAAATCCATTCCATAGATATCCTTATGGACTATTTTGAGCTATCCTAAAGCTCTTAGAAACCGTCCAAAGTCCATCCTAATGGATTTATAGTCTAAAGTCTAACTATCAAACAATTGACAGTTTATACCCTCTTATTTAATTAATCTCTTTAAGTCACCAAATTAATACCAATTAATTTATGACTTATATTAATCAAATAGCTAAATATTATTCCTTATAATATTTACTCTCTCTTAACAAATCATCCTTCAAGTTGCTATGGTGAAGGCAACCCAAAAGGACCATGCACCACCGAATATAGTTATAGCCTTAGACACTATTCCAACAGTCTCCCACTTGGATAAGTCTAGTAACTATACAAGTATAATACGGTTTGCAATCGTAGCTCTCAAAGACGCTGTCAACTCTGATCTAATCAATCTTGTCCTTTAGATAAGGGATCGTACAGTCCTCTGTTAGATATCATGCTGACAATCCTATGGAATGGTTAGTCTAGCATTTAGATTTCTCGATCTTCGATTTATTTGACATAGAACTTAATCGAACACATCAATTCAGTTCTGACCGGGCCCGGCACATAAGTCAAATCAAATCATCGAGTGGCCAAGATATCTCTTCTACCCTCTTAGGATAAAATTTACAGATAAACTTCGACTTATATGCATTTACTTATTCATTAACCAACTATACACAACAATGCGTTTTATAACATCAAGTTACTGATGCGTTTTCGCATTATCAATGCACAATCAATTAACAAATAATAAACCATATATCTAGGTTTTAAGACCATATGATATTATCGTCTTGCGATCACCTTTTATATCGTATTCCATAAGGTGATTCCAGCAAGCGCGGGTTTATTCCAATGCTCAAAACCAGTTCGTAAGCACTCATGAACGTTGCAGCAACTCTTGCTATGTCTAACACCATTTAGACACTCTACACACCAATTCACGACAATCTTCATTCATATCTACTCCCAACATATGAACGATTGTGGACCATTTGAATAATTCGATTATTCCTAATAAACTCAATTATTCTGGAAGTCAAAACATGCAAAGTGAAACAATAGTTAAACAACTAACATGTGATAGTAACTTTACTCATAAATAAAACTTCTTTATTTAATCATCAAATGTTAATTACATTTATCTATTATACGTTTCTAATACAATCTAATCTATGCTAATATCATCCTTCAGCCCAATACTCCTAGCATGCTGTAAGTGCTTAACCCTACTCAGTCCCTTCGTAAGCGGATCTGCTGGGTTATCTTCTGATGATATCCTCTTCACTACGAGTTGTCCTTCTTCTACACGATGTCTAATGAAGTGATATTTTCTGTCGATATGTCGAGATCTACCATGATCCCTCGGTTCCTTGGTCAAGGCAACCGCACCTTCGTTATCACAGAAAATCTCCATGGGCTCCTTTATGGCCGGTACAACTCCAAGATCACCGATGAAGTTCTTCAGCCATATTGCCTCCTTCGACGCTTCGCTCGCTGCGATGTACTCTGATTCGCACGTTGAATCAGCTACGGTTTCCTGCTTGGAACTTTTCCATGTCACTGCTCCTCCATTTAGGGTAAAGACCCAGCCCGACTGCGAACGGTAGTTGTCCCTGTCGGTTTGAAAGCTGGCGTCACTATACCCTCGCACCTTCAAGTCATCACTCCCTCCAAGGACTAAGAACCATTCTTTCGTTCTCCGAAGGTACTTAAGGATGTTCTTCACCGCAATCCAATGTGCTTTGCCAGGGTTCCCTTGATATCTGCTAACCATGCTCAAAGCGAAGGCTACATCAGGGCGAGTACAAGTCATAGCGTACATGATTGAGCCAACTGCGGAAGCGTATGGTACTCGGCTCATTTCTGCTATCTCGGCTTCGGTACTCGGACTTTGAGTCTTACTCAACTTGGCATTTCCTTGTATCGGTAGTTCTCCCTTCTTTGAGTTTTCCATACTAAAACGTTTTAGTACCTTCTCCAAGTAAGTATTCTGACTAAGTCCAATTAGTCTCTTACTTCTTTCTCTTACTATCCTTATTCCCAAATGTAAGAAGCCTCTCCGAGGTCCTTCATAGCGAAGCACTTCCCGAGCCAGGACTTAACCTCCTGCAGAGTCGGGATGTCGTTTCCTATGAGTAATATGTCATCGACATATAGAACGAGGAAGCTTACTACACTCCCACTGGCTTTGACATATACACAAGATTCGTCTTCGCTTCGTACAAATCCAAACTCTTTGACTTTCTCATCGAAGCAAAGATTCCATCTGCGAGACGCTTGCTTAAGTCCATAAATGGACTTCTCAAGCTTACACACTCTATTCGGATGCTTCGGATCCACAAACCCCTCTGGCTGAGCCATGTAAACATCCTCAGCCAACTTTCCGTTAAGGAAAGCGGTCTTGACATCCATTTGCCAAATCTCATAATCATGAAATGCGGCAATTGCTAGCATCACTCTAATAGATTTAATCTTCGCAACTGGCGAGAAGGTCTCATCATAGTCAACTCCGGGAGTTTGAGTAAAGCCCTTCGCAACCAATCGCGCTTTGTATGTGTGTACGTTCCCATCCACGTCGGTCTTCTTCTTGAAGATCCACTTGCACCCTACGGTCTTACGTTCGGGCACGTAATCAACCAAATTCCAAACTTGGTTATCGTACATGGATTGGATCTCGCTATCCATCGCCTCTTTCCATTTCGCAGACTCCGGGCCTGCCATGGCTTCCTTATAGCTATTAGGTTCATCAAGATTTACTAGTGTACCATCACTAATATACGTGTCCCCTTCGGTAGTAATATGAAAACCATAAAACTGGGGTTGAACTCTAAATCTATCGGAACGTCTAAGAGGTAAGGATTCGTCAATCGGTTCAACCGGAGTTTCCTCCTCGGGTTGAACGCCAGCGGTAGAGGTTCCTTCATCTATCGATTCTTGAATCTCTTCAAGTTCGATTTGCCTCCCACTGTCTCCTTGGCTTATGAGTTCTCGCTCTCGGAAAACTCCTCTCCTCGCAACAAAGATAACATTATCTTTCGGTCTATAGAAGAGATATCCAAAGGAAGTTTGCGGGTAGCCGATGAAAATACATCGCTCACTTCGAGGTTCAAGCTTGTCGTGAGTATCTCGTCTTACGAAAGCCTCGCAACCCCAAACCTTGATATGTGCCAACGAGGGAACTTTCCCCGTCCACATCTCGTGAGGTGTTTTGGCAACCTTCTTGGTAGGGACTCGGTTAAGGATATGGGCGGCAGTCTCTAAGGCATACCCCCAAAAGAAGATAGGTAGTGAAGCACGACTCATCATAGAGCGAACCATATCCAATAAGGTTCGATTACGCCTTTCTGCCACACCATTCAATTGCGGTGTCCTAGGAGGCGTCAATTGCGAAACTATTCCACACTCCTTGAGATAATCGT